CTATCACAGCAGGGAAGTCCCGGTCCCTGCACAAGAAAACGGAGGTGAAGAATTGGTTAAAGAGGTCTGCTTTCTCCTCTGACGCAACCACCAGATTGCCCAGCGTATCCTGCAGGGGTCCCACATTCCCAAATATATTGGGAGGATGAAGAAGGTGCCGGGTAAAGGACTTTTTGTTATCCTTAATCTTAGGGATTTAAATGATGAACAGAAAGAACCTGCCTCAGGTTTTCAACACACAATTCCTGGGTTAAGCTAGGATTTCTTGAACAATTCTGAGAAAATTGGTACATTTGCTTCCAAATTCTGTTCAGCTAAAACCTGGCCTGCAAAAGGTTCACATTAGAATCAAAAGGATTTTTTTAGCTTTCATCTTTAACACCACAAACTATAGTGAAAAAATGTGAGATTGAGGTGGAATCTGTAAGATTATGTAATTATTTTCTTAAAACCCAAAAGTAGTCATTACAGATAACCTACCCTTTATATACACTTAGTCCAGAAGCCCGTGTTTAATAAGGAACAGGATATTCTACAAAGTTATGGCCATTGAATTGTCTTTGTTTTCATCAATTCCAGAAAGGCTCCTGGATGGGCTGATTGTTTAGTTAATGAAAGGCAGGATCTGAACAAAACAGTTCAGCAGGTTCAGGAAACGTGCTTTTGAACAGGTTGAATAGTTCTGAAGATGGATCCTCCCTCTAGGGTACCTGATGCCTTGTAGAGCTCCAGAAAGATACTATATGCCACTAAGCAGTGTATGATGACCACTAGGGCTTTTCTTCAGTAAATGTGTTTCTAAGAGTATTACAATCCATTCATCAAAAAATGCAATAATGTATTTGGGCTGCTCAGGATGTAGTAAAGATGACTTTCCTCAGCTACTTTTAGCAGTCCTCTGATGCTGGCAGAGTCCTTTCCCAATTGAAGACTTTTTTTTCCTTTCACTTTTCAGATTTTCTGTTCCTGGTCTTCATGTTGCTGCAAAGTTGAGGGTGAAAGATACCACTGAGACCATCAGGAATACAGCTTCATTTAAACACACACATTTTTTCTGCTCTTACAATAATCAGGGCCAGAGATATGGAGACTGAAGTCCTTCATCCACAGAACAGACAGTGAGTACAGACAGAGGAATGGACCAGAGCAGCATCTCAGCTGTCATGCGAAGCTGGATGGTATCCCTGGTATTCCAGACAATTGGGAGGATTTGTGCTAGATTTAACACCTGAGATAGTAATGCCTGAGCTCACGTCATTGAGGGACTATTGCAGAGGGGCAGATACACAGTACTACAAAATCAAAAGCTGCCTCAAAATCAAAAGCATGGATGAGTGGAGTCTTAGGACTGCAGCACTGGCTGATGCCACAGGTCAACATCGGGGCATTTGCAGAATGTGCGGGTGCCCTGCCCATTAATAGCAAGGTTTGGAGCCAGTGTGAGGGCGCAGAACCAGCACTCAGTTCAGGATTCAAGCCAGAGGTGCAACTAGAAATTTTGGAGCCCTGTGCGAGTGGTTGAGCTTGGGGGGGGG